TCATATTCCTAGCGACAGCTGTAGAAACAACAGGACCTAATTCTAGAGCCGAAATTCTAGAGCAGGAGGAGCCCTTCCTACGTGAGCTGACATCTCTGGCCACGTTCTTTCCAGGTGTTAGCTGCTGCAGGGACAGGCAGCGCCTGAGAAGAAAAACCACCAGAAGCGCCACTGTCGTGTGGGGCTGGAGTGCGCAAGTGCCACTTATCGGGACCCCAAATATGACCTTCCCCAGGGGACAGTGCTGAGTCCTGAGGCAACGGGGTGGGGCAAGGGGGCTGGGGAGCTTCTAAAAGACAACACAGAATCTCTAGAGTTTGGGCTACTTAGAAAACAAGGTCTGTCCATAGCGGATCTGTGGGAAAGAAGCGTGCTGACCACGACACTGCAGCTGCTGAAGAGCAGGAAGCGGCGCTAGTGCCCCAGGAAAGCCGAGACGAAACGCGGGAAGCGTCAAAAATGAGCGCTAAGACACAGAGCAAGGTGGAGAAGCCGTGGACAAAATGCCACCAGCTTTGGGAGGGAACAGGAAGTGGGCCACGCGTGGAAGGTCTCTGAAGGTGAAAGCACTCAGCGGTGGTGACTCAGGGAGGGCAGGAGAGGGAGATGTCACCTTTCCTACATAACCTTTTGTGGCTTTTGAACAAGACTATGGGTTATATTACCTATTAAAGACTAAGAATTAGGAAAGTGGGCTGCATTTTAGGAGGAAGGAGCCCCACACCCGAGTAGGTGATGCCTGGCAGGGAGCAGGAATCTAGGGCACGCGGAGGGCCCGGTCCTGCCCTCTGGGCCCCGGCTGGCTGGGTGCAGAGTCCTGGGTGAGCTCTAGATCTCTCCACTGACAACGGGTGAGGCCAGGACACAGAGGTGAGCCCCGGGGCACTGACAAGGCCGACCAAGAGCACTTGGATTGTACAGGTGGGAAAAAGGTTGAGGGGGGACAGTGGGGTCCTGCAAGATTCCAAAGAGGCGCCAGCTCACCATGGATGCCTCTACGCAGAGCGACCTGGGGAGACACAGGTCACCAGACACCCTCTTTAAGGTGGTTTTACATGAACCTCATGACACTTTTTCCAAGTCAGAGATCAGTCTGATACCACAGGTACTTACTTCTTTGTGGCTGGGATAAAGAAGAATTGGATGCTAAGAGACACCCTTTATTTTTAAGAGATCTTCGATGCTACCCTGCCCCTTCTGAGCCAAGTAGCTAAAACAGACCCCCCCGAAAGACAGACCCCCCATGTCTCTCCTGCCTGGGCACCCAGCTATGCTTCTTACACTGGGGCTGGCGGCCGGACTCGGGCAGGTTGGACATGACAGTGGGCTGGGGCGCCTCCCACCCCTTCCCAGGATCGACCCCCAGCCTCAGGCCAGCCAACGCACCTTTTCCAGGCCTGCGCCCCTGGCTGCCTTCTGGGCTCTGGAAATCCACGTCCCCATCAGTACTGCTGGACGAAGAGAAGCTGGTGGGGGTGCCACGGGGTCCTGGGGGAAAAGCAGAGCTGTCTCTCATGAAGCTCTGCAAGCCCAGAGCCAGAAGAGGCCCCACGGTCACCTCTGCAAGAAATGGTACAGCTGGCATCATGGGAAAAGCCACTGGAGATCCCCTGGGCCCAAAGGATCTCCCATTGGGGTCTCCCCTTCGGGTCGGCAGCTCAGGCTGCTGGTTGAAAAGCCGCAGCATGTTAACATGCGCTAGCCATTGGTCCGGAGGGGCTGGAGAGAAGACATAAGGGCTTCGACAAGGCAGCGGGCAGGGAGAGTCCACCGGGCCTCACCCAACCTGGGAGCTGTTTGGAGGCAGGCACAAAAGGGAGGCTGGCAGGTGGGGTGGGGAGAAAGGTGTGAGCTTCGAGGCCCAGGACGAGGAGGACATGATTTCCACCCTGTGCCGTGGCAGGGACAAACGCCACCCCCAGCCCACGTCCCAGGCTACCTTGACTGTGTGATCCACGGGGCTGCAGCTCGGGCCTCTGAGACCCAGGGTCTCCAGGCTGGGGGCTCCGGAACCAAGACGTGGCCGGCGGCTGGGGAGGTAACGACCCACTCAGGGGAATGCCCTTCAGACAGGCCTCCAGGGCTTCCAGGGGTGAGCTCGAGGCACTGCCGGCTGGGACAGGGGAGATGGCCCTATCACCATCTCTGGCAGGTCCCCTGGCCTGGCCCCCGGTTGGCCCGCCCACCCGCCTTTTGCAGGGGTGAATCCTGCACCAGGTGTGGGAGCCTGCCAGGCAGAACACCCTACTGTGGGGGACTTTCGTCTGCTCTCGGTTTCTGCTGGAAGAATGATACACTGTACCCCCGGGCCCCACGGTGGGGCGGGGAGACCCAGGTGGATGCAGCAGCTGGCCCCACCAGTTAGGACACAGGTCCTTACTCCAGAGGGCTTCCTGGGCCAGGGCCTGATTAGGGAGGACGTAGCTAAGGGAGGGGGCTAGCTGCTCGAGGGTGCTGGCCGGGTCCTCCCCAGTGGACTGGACCCTCCCTTCCCTGTGGGTGGGCAGAACCTTGCTGCGGGGGCTGGGAACCCCATGAGGACTCGAGCAGATGACCCAGGCCTCACCTTGAGCTGCGGGGCCCCAGCTGGGCACACGGATCCCACCGGCATCTCTATCGTCCCCAGGGCTGCCGGTGGCAGAGGGGCTGCGGGTCCACTTGCCGAGCTGACAGGATGCTGGCACTAGGGAGCTCTGGGCCCAGCTGTCCTCCATCTTCACGACAGCACCAGGGCAGGGAGGAGAGGTCTGGTGGGGTCCAGGCCCTGTGGGAAGCCCGCCATGAGGCCCCTGTAGGGTTAGGATGGGGCTCCCAAGGCCTTTGGCCTCCACGGCTGTTTCAGCTCTGAGACAGTCCCTGCTCAGTGCCAGCAGATGGAACAATTTACACACCCCATCCCACCCCCAGTCCCCGACCCAGGTCACCTCCAGGGGTTTCCACCAAGGGCGCCAAGTCGGCCCTCCCCAGGCAGTACCAGATCAGGGTCTCCTCCAAAACCAGCACATGTGACTCAGTTTGACTCCCTCAATGTTCCGAGAAGCTGCCGGGTGTGGAAACGCTACCCCAGTCCATGCGGACGCTGACGAGAACCCCACATCGAAACATGCCCCGAATGTCTGCTCGGCTGGAGCTGCCCTCTGCTCTCGGTTCCTCTCCCTCCCTGCCTGCTCATCCCCCCTCGTGGAACTTGGCTCCATTCTAAGAGACAATCTAGAAAATTATCATGGATGATGAAGCACCTCCTGCACGACTAGCTCCATTGATAGTGATGATCCCCGACATCTGGCTACTCCAACTGACACGCTGACATGTGGCCTAAGTGTCTTACTGTGGAGGGTCACCCACAGTCCTGCTTGGAGCAGTGGAAAGAATGGGTGACGTCCAGGGCCCTCCCAGCGCAGCCAGAGGCCTTTACCTCCAGAATTCCTCTTCCAGGCCCCTGGATCCTCCTGCAGCTGTGGGTCTCCAGACCCTGAGTGGCTGACGCGAGTGTCCCGGGCCACTGGGATCTCGTTCAGACAGTTCAGCAGACCCTGGAGGGGACAATCCCCGGACGCTGCCTCTGTTTTCACTGCCAGAAAAAGACACAGATCTTCTCCTGAGCCCGGAGTGCTTAGTTTTCGTGACAAACAAGTGGACAGTCTAGGTGAGCAGTCAAAAGGGTTCAGAGCCAGAAATCTGGATGTGTGGGTCATCTGCAACTCAGTGGTCTCGCACAGGCCACTGTCTTCTTGGTGGCCGGTTTATAACCGCCTGTCTCCACAGCCCCAGAACTGGACGGAGAAAGGAGGGGGGCTGCGCAGGTGCATCGCAGACACAGCACCTGCTGTGACCCCAACTGCAGATGAAGGAGGCGGCTGACGGGTCGCCACTTATGGACTGATTCCTGGGCCCTGAACAGGGCTTACGTTTTCGGAACGTACACATAAACCCATTACTGTACCCAGCCTCAGGTGGGAACCGTGACCCCCTTTTGCAGGTGGGGAAACCGAGGCTCAAAGGCTTCAGGAGCCTTTCACAGTCTGCACAGCAAACAGGTGTCAGGCTCCAGGACAGGCACTCTCGCCACCACCATGCTGCCCTGATCCCTCGAGTCCACACCGAGCACCCTACTTAGTGTCAGCCCTCACTCAGAAGTCCCTCACTAGGATGAGTGACGAACACAAAAGGACCCAGGGCTCAGAAATATGACCCTCATGATACTGAAGCAGTCAAGTCACAGATGATCCTTCGGGAAGACACTCAATTTATAGGGAAATACCTACAGAAAGGCAATTTGAGTTGTGGGGCTTCTGAAACCCTGGCCTGAGGAGACAGGTCCCCAGGGACTCGCCTCCCCAGGGCAGGCTCCCATGCCCCAGCTCCGGCCTGGTCAGCCATGACACACTAGGAACAGGAGGCAGTAAGCTTGGGGACACCTTAGGGTACTGGGGCCCAGGCACCAGACTTTTCTTCAGGCAGCTGACAAGGCTTTTTAAGGGGCTGTTCCCAGGAGAGGTTCCGGTGGGACCTGCATGATCGGCCAAGGTCAGTGCAGCTCTGATGGTGGCAGGCGTTGAGATTTGCCACCCAGGAGAACAGGATGGCGCCTCCTCAGTGGGCTGTCAGGTGGCCCAGATGGAGAAGCCATGTGATACACCTCCGTTTCCCTGCCCCGCTCAGCCCCAGGGCAGGTCCCACCTCAGGAAAGCCAGCCTCTCACCTGCCCCTGCAGACTCTCTCTCCTGCTTTCTGTGGCTCTTCCTCCTGCCGGGGCTATAGGTGGGAGGGCTGTGCTCCCGGCCTGGGGCTTCAGGGCCTTCCTCCTCTGCAGGCCTCCGAGTGTCAGCAGCGTCTATAGCAGGAGAGACAGGAAGTCCCTTCCAGGCCTGGCTCCTGGCCCCGGGGAATTGCCCCAGACCTGGTGCCCAGAGGACAGGCCTCTCCAGCCCTAAATCCCTTGGCCCAGCAGCCAAGTCCTGGGAACTCGGACTTGTGGCAGAGCCAGTTCCTGCAAGACTTGTTCCAGGGCTCCTCCCTGGGGAAGGCGGTGGGGGTTGGGGGTCCTCTCCCAGTTTCCCCCCGGTATAATTGTAAATACCAAGACTGTTCACTCCAACCTCGCCTTTGGCTCAGCAAGGGACGCCAGCAACCTCAACACGCAGGCCCCAATCTTGCACTCATGCTTCTCGAATGTGGGCACACAGAACCCCAGAGCAAAGGTGCCAGACCACGCCTGAAACCACAGGCTAAATGGAGTACGTTTTTCAGGCATGCCAATTGTATTCTGCATTAATTTTAAATATTTTTAATAAAAACAAGATATTGCAAACATTTTTTAAATAAAGTGAGACCATACAGAAATTAAAATGGCTACCCTTGCCCTCCTTGGCATTTAGGATTGCCCGATGAAAAGGTCTGAGACTTGGACCAGGTGATTCAGGTAGCCCAGGTATGCTACCTGCCGCTGGACCTGCGTGTTAGGACCGTCCCCTGCTCACTGTGCACCTGACTGCTGCTCACTGAGCAGCATGAGCACAACTCCAAGAGCAGAGCTGGGTGAGAGGCCACCGGGGACCGAGCATCACGGCTCCTCTGGCCTTCACACATAGGCAGAGGACCAGAGCTGCTCCCCAGGGAGCTGGTCCCCATTGAGCAGCAGGAGAAACCGAGTCCCAGAGAAAATGAAGAGGGGTCAGGGTCTGGTCCCCTGACTCCAGGGTCGGAGCCCTGCCCCTGCTAAGTCACACTCACTGATGGAGAGGGGGCTCCCCTGACTTCTGGCTCCAGGTGAACCGCTGGATGATGGCCTGCCACTGGGCATGGTGGCCGGGCCGGGCCGGCTGACGGCTGTGTCTGGAAGGCAGCCAGGCAGGCCTCGGAGAGGACAAGTTTCCACAGCCACAGGTGCTGTCGGGGAGGAGGGAGAAGACACTGGAAGGTGGAACGTAAGCCCAGCAACAGGTAAAACACCCCTGACGTGCGATCCCGGCCCTTCCTTGCTGCACGCCACTAACGGTACAGGCCGAAGACGAGGCCTACATGCTGCACTGTCCCCCCTGGGCCCTGAAACACCAACTCGCAGCCCTGGTCCTCTTCTCATACAATCCCTCCCACCGCTACCTGTTTCATTTACCATCAACCGAGCGGGCTCGAAGGAATCCTACGGGCCAGGGCTGGTGGGGACAGATTCCCCCGAGGAGGTGAGGCCTGAACTGGGAGGGGCGAGGGAGCAGGGCATGGCACGGGGAAGGAAGGGGAGTCTGGTGAGCCGGGAAGAGCACAGGCTGGGAGGGGGACCTGGGTCCCCACTGGCCACTCAGACAAGGCACAGCTTCCTCTTCCTCATCTACAGAACTGGGGCTGGCCTCACCTGCCACGCAGGGCGTAACGTGACAGGGGCCACGAGGGTGTGGATGAAGCCACACAGAAACCACTGGAAAAAGTCAGAAGCCTCCGTCTCGCCAACTATCCACGCGCTCTGAGGGCGGACACGCCGTTGGGCTGTTCATGCAACGGGGTGACTCTGCCAAGGGCCTGGCACACAGTGCGTGCCACTGTCCACACCCTGGACTTCACCTTGGGGACTGCAGAGAGGCTGCCCCACCGCCCGGCTTACCCTCGGGGCTCGCCCGCTCCTCGTCCAGGCTGGTGCCCCGGCTCTCAGGGCCGACGTCCCCAAACAGGAACCCCGGGATCTCCTTCACCAGCTGCACCAGGGCAGTGAGGTGCAGGCTGTGTTGGGGTGCTCCTCCTGCCGGAGAGGCCACAGTGAACCCCCACACCCTACGCCTGCTCAGCACTCACGCTTCTGTGCTCATCTCCACACCATCCTCCTGCCACGTGAGGAGCGGCAAAGGAGAGACCGGTGTCCGTGACATAAAGAGGACTCACGCCTGGTGACCTGCCCACTGGCACAGCCGAAACTGCGGGCTGGGAGCCAGGGTGGCTGGATTCTTCTATACTCTGTCACTCATTACCTGTCACTCCTCGGAGGGGGACACCAAGAGGGCTGTCTCTCCATCCCCACCCACCATCTGGGCCCTTTGCCTTTCCTGGCGTCCCCTAACCTCCCGGCCTTGCCCGGGCTGGGACCATGGGCCGCATCCACCATTTGAGGTCTCCAGATGCTGGCCCTGTGGCAGCATCTTCCGGAGCTGCAGGCTGGCTCCCCACAGGCGGAGGCAGGAAGGGGGCCTGAAGAGGTGGCGCTCCCCAAGGGCGACCCCAGGCTTCTTCTGAGCACGTCACGTGAGACGCAACAGTGTGCCGGGCTCCCAGCAGAGCGGCGGTGAGTGACAGATCATGGAGGGGCCGGGGTCGGGAGTGCGGTGAGGTAGGAGGGCTGAGGTCAGTGTTCCCTGAGCAGTGGAGCTGGGGGCTGCAGACCACACTATGGGAGGGACGAGAGTGAGTCCACCTGGACACAGGCTGCCCAGGGGGACCAGGACGCCCAAAGGGGACTGGCCTTTGTCCACCAAGATTACTTACCTGGGGCACCGTCCCTAGGAGGCTCCTCTTGTCCCTCACCAGCTTGGCTCCTGCTCATGGCTCCTCTAGGCTCCGTGGGAGACAGGAAGGCAGAGAGGGGGAGCGGCTCAGCTGTCCCTGGGAATAAAAACAGGGACAGTCCCCCTGGAACAGAAGTTCGCCTCCGTCCCCCCAAGTACAATCGAATGGGCAGCCTAGCACCTGCACACCCCTGCGCCTGTTCACACTCGTGTTTGTGTGACCGCCCAAACCCCAAGGACCAGAGCGTCAGAACCCGAGAGATGACCTTGCTGGTGTCTCGCCAGCTTTTCAGTGCCCCGCCGAAGCGTGCCCGGAACCGTGGGGCAGTCCACGGGATCCACGCGGCAGAACAGGCCAGCGAGGCCGCCAGCCGAGCTGAGGCTCTCGGAACACCGCCTCAGACGGTGCTCCTTCTGGAGATGAAAACTAAGGCCTGGCAGGTCCCAGGGCGACTCTGACGCGTTGGTGCTGGGGCCAGACTCCCTTCCGCACTTCAGCATGGACACTTGCCACCCTTCCCCAGAGAGGCCCCAGGGCGCGGCCAGCTCCTTACCCAGGGACACCAGCGCCTCGTAGTTCTCCTGCATCACGTCCCTGTAGAGCTCCCTCTGTCCCTCCCCCAGGAGCTGCCACTCGTCCTCAGAGAACTGCACAGCCAGGTCCTGGAAGGCGATGGACACCTGTGGGCACAATCTCGGGAGAGTTGGCTGGTTCCATCCCAGTGAGGCCAAGTGTCACCAGGGAGCGGGGAGCAGCGAGAGCGGGGTGGGTGCCCAACACACGGGAGCAGGTGAAGGAGCAACAGGAATCTGCTCAAGAGACAGTGATGGGAGCGGGCTGTGTCCCCCAAAAGACACGCTGAAGTCCTCACCCCGGTACCCGTGAATGTGGCCTTATTTGGAAACAGGGTCATTGCTGATATAATTAGTTAAAATGAGGTCAAACCAGAGTAGGGTGGGCCCTCAACACAGTGAGAAGACACAGGGACACAGGGAGAAGAGTAGGCCATGTGACAACAGAGGTAGAGATCGGAGTGATGCAGACACAAGCCACGGAACGCCTGGGGCCACCGGAAGCTGGGTAACAAACTGCAGTGAGCAAAACTGTGACAGGCACAAGTGCAGATGGGGGGCGGGCGCCGCTGCACATTAAGGAACCGGCGCACTCTGGTTTACCCATCTGTCCTTTATAAGTTTGGTTAGTGTAAGTCGACTCCTTGAGAACCACAATCTAAGGGTGTCCTACACCTGCAAAACCATAGTTCCACCCAAACGCAGCCCCAGGAGGCCAATGCGAAGAAGCAAGTTGGGACGGCCTGGGAAGCTCATTTCTTCTCTACCTTTTGGTAGCTCGACACAGAGCTGGCTCGACAGGTCTGAGCTGGATCCAGGAAAGAATATACTGAGCTATGGAGGGTCCACCTGGCTACTTCCCAGGCCAGGGATATTAGCTACCCACCTCCCAGGCCTCTCTCTGGGGAACACAGGCCATGCTGTAAATGGCGGTCAGCCTGAACACGTCCCTATCTGATGATGAGAGCTGGGGACTGTGGACAAGTGGCTGCTTCTGTGCATGTACAGTCTCCCCAACACACCCACCTACACGGGTACCAGGTACATCAGCCACCACCCAGCCTCTCAGCTCCATCTTCCTCTCCCCACCTCCCTCCCCTAATTTCAACACCCACGTGTTAACGGCACCCTGCTGGATGCTGAGTGAGATGTGTCACACTCAGGCTCTGTTCTCCAAGGGCCCACGGATCAGCAGAGGTGTGACCCTTACAATTTTCGGAGCACTCCAGAGCTCCCACTGATTAACAACACGGCCCTACGCTGCTCAGACACTGTTATCCTGTGCGAGGGGTGAAGGGTCCGAAGCAAGGACGGGTGACGCGCACGCCAAGCAGGCAGACGGCCTCGGCACCAAGTCCAGGGCTCAGGCCTTTGGACTGAGACTTCGGTGCCCCTTCCGCTGTGCATGACTGACTACGACCAATGATAACGTCAGTAAACCTTAAGAAACCAAGTACCCAACATCTAATTTTTTAAAAATTATTGTTGCCCAGTGTCTATAGGGGAACACACTGGACATCTGTGTCAGACGTCACCACCCCCAGTAACCTCTTCGTTTAAGGTGGTGATAGGGAGAGGGGAAGAGTCCAGAACCCAAGAAACTCTCTGTAGCCACTGCTGAGTGACATGGCCCTGGTTGGAGCAGGGAACTGGGGGGTTGGGACCCAGTAGAGCCAAACAGTAGTTCTGCTGGAGAGCTGGTTCAAGTTGGCCTCTTCATCTATTAAACCAGGTGAAAAATACTCTGTATCCTCAGCTTCTCCCATCAGAAGTTATTTACAACATAATAACTGAAAAACAAAAGGGCTTTGAGGTTCAAATGATGTACTTCACAGCTGCTTTTTAATTAGGACTGATTTCCCACCTCATACTAGAGCTACTAAATCATGGTTTAGTGTTTTCTGGGGCCCAGAAATCGACATTGTCAAACTTCCCAAGTGATTTTGACACTGCGGTCCAGTCACAGGCTGGAGACGGGGCAGAACCTGCCCAGTCCCTGGAAATGAAAACCACACTGGTGAACAGGCGCCTGAAACGTCGGCCCCGCACCTGTCCCCAGGGCCAGCTGCCCAACATAGCATGTTTGTGAACTAGAAATCACACACAGCTGTAGATGTTAACATTTCATGCTGACTTCCATCCGAAGCAAGGTGGCTCTTCAATTTCTACCTCAGTGCCTTCAATAATGGGTGCCTTCCACATTCCCAGCAGCTGGTCCTATGGCTGGCCTGATCTGGCAGTTAAGAAGCTCTGGCCACACAGCCAGGGGCAGAGCACAGGGGTGAGAGGTTGACCTCAGGAGCCACGCTGCCAGAAACCTGACCCCTGCTTTGCTTCGTATTAATATGGGACCTCGCCAAACTCATTTCTAAAAGTAAGATCGTAACAAGCTATAGCATAAGGATGCTGTGAAGACTAAAGAAATACAAGAAAAGTGCCTGGAACAGATGCTGGGACACAGTAAGTGCTATGATTAGCATTATTGCAGCTAAATCTGTCACAGCCTGCCACCTCCAGCTACGCAGAATAGGCTCTTCCCTACATACTCCTGACCGCTGTGACTCCTGCCTCTTTATCTCTAAGCTAAACACACCCCGTTCTTCGAAACATCTTGAAGAGATGATTTCCAAGCCTGTCAACTTCTCAGCCTCAAGAAAACTCTTCTATGACAAAGTTCCTACAAAACAAGACTGAAAACTGATTATGGCTGGAGTAAGTGGTCCCGTCAGTGGCCTCCCTCTGCCCAGAAGAAGCAGAGGAAGAGTGAGGAGTGCGTGTGTGTGCGAGGGAGTGAATAAGCATAAGTGTGAAAACACACAGTCAGTAAACACTCACCCTCAGGAAAGGAAAACGCAACACTGGCTTGAATCTGGGCCTCCCGTCCTCCTCCAGACCTACTTCACTCACTCAGTGGCTCTCAGGCTGCCCTCCCTCAACCAGCAGCAGCAGAATTTTCTGGGCTGGTTCAGGATTGCTGTAACAGAGCAGCCTCCTGGCTCACTGCTGCCATGCTGGTCCTCCTTAAAACATTCCTACCATGTCACCACTCAGCCTGAAAACTCCAACTTCAGTGCCCATGGGAACCATCCATCTCTCACCGTCCTTCCCAGCCTGGACCCATTCTCCCAGCATGCCTCAGTCTCCCAGATCAGACCCTGTACGCTGCTGCCTCCAACCTGTGGGCTGTGCGCACACGCCCCTTGGCTTTTGGGAGTCACAGTGGACAAAAAGACAGGAGGCCCTCCCTGTTCCTGTCCATCCGACTGTGCCCTATTGCTCCCCAAGGCCACCTTCTCCATGAAACTACACAGTGTGAGTACACACGCCTCCCAGAACCTGGTCCAACCCCTCATTTTATAGATGAGGGAACTGTGGGATGAGGTGGCCCTAGCACAGGACCAGTAGGCATATTTGAGTAATGGTGTCCTTGGGCTTCTTAACTGGACAGCCAGGCTGCCCGTCTCTGACAGCGTTCAATTTACCTGGCTGTTCCTTCCTCTCAAAAGTTTGTGGGGCATTAATAACACCAAGGTCCTGGCACAGTTACTGCTCTGCCTGTTCACAGCCTGCCCCAGGCCCCAGCCCCAGGCCTCCCCCATGCCCCAACCATGGAGTCTGTTGCCTGCGGTCGTCCCAAGCTCATGAGCCACCCCAATTACAGAACTGACTTCCAGAAGATCACGTGGCAACTCCCCACTGGTATCACGTCTTCCTAGCACCTTCACAGCTCTGCACGCAACTCGCTCAAACTGTGCCCAGGTTGACAGATGCGGCTCTCACTTCAGCTCTCGGAGCTACACACCTTACTTAGAGGATAAAACCCGGGAGTGGTGGACATGGACCTAGTTCCATGTCTCATCGCCTCTCCCAGGGGTCCAGGATCCTATCAAAAATAAAAGTATCGGATTTACTCATTCCCTGAGGCCTTCATGCCCACCACTGCCAGGATAATTTATAATTAGTTAAAAGAAGCCAAGACGAGGGAAGGCGATGCTTAACCCAAAGGACCGAGTTCCCAAAGGTGGAGAGATTTCTTGTACGTGTATACTGCAGGCGAGGAGTAGGGAGAGGTCGCCCAAGGTCTGGGCTTCACACGAAATCCTGCTCACCGGACCCGCCCAGCCCCGCACAACCCGATTTCAAAGTTGGCAGGTCCCGGGTTCTTTCCTCGCCCCCGGGGGCCGCGCCGTGCCCCGCAAAGCGGACCGGCCCAGGCATGCGAGCGCCCGTCCTCCCGGGCTTACGGCGAGGTCCCGGCTCGCATTACCTGGCGCGCCATCCCGGACCCAGCCTCCGCTCCCAGCTTCCGGCGCGGTCCGAGGCGTCCGCTCCCCGGTCCGCGACCTGCCGCGCGACCCTCAGCGTCGGCGACGACAGAGGTCGGCGCGGGAGGAGGCGGGGCCGGGGCGGCAGAGGGCACGCCCCGCATCCCAGGAGTGGTCCTGTTTCCGCCCGGAGACCCCTGGCCTCGGCGGCCCGTGGTGCGCAGGCGCAAACTACACTTCCCAGGAGGAGCCGCGGCGCCGCTTACTCATCGCCTCCGCGGGCGACCCTGCGAAGCTGCCAGGAGGGACTAGGCGCCGGGACTCACCTGGTGGCTAGCTCAGGGTGTGTTTGCACGCGTGTACGCATTCATCCATCCGTCCAACCATCCATTTATCCATTCCTTCATCTAACATTTACTGAGCGCATCCTCTGTGCCAGGTGAGGATGCTCAGATGAAAGGGCATCCGCCTCCCCCAGAGGGCGCACCTCTTAAAGCGACCGTGACCAAGACACCCCGGGAGGCGTTGGGATGGGGAGTGGGTCTCCAGGGCTGGAGAGGGGGCTGCAGGCCCGACGGCGCAGGGCCGCGGTCATTGGTGGGCGAGAGTGGTTGCCAGACGGTGGCGCATCATGAGATCTGTCACCCCGCTTCCTCACTCACTACAGCATTGACCTGTGTGTCATTATATCTTGGGTGACTATTTACTGGCCCGTTTGGTTCATTGTGGTAACCTCTCGAGTTCCTGGCACGTAGTAGACCCTCGAATAAATGTGTGAGGCGTGAACTAAGCGTGGGCCCCACCATTCTGCCGAGCAGGAAGCCTAGGGAGAGCCACGGACTCCCGCGGAGAAAACCCCGGCTGAACACAATGAGCCTCATTTCAGGTCTGGAGGCGGACCCGTTAGAACAGCTCCGAGAAGGTGGGCCTGAGGGGCTCAACCTGCTCTGCAAGACGGAAGCTCGCAGAGGTAGAGGAAGTGGGGTGACAGTACCAGGGAAGAGAAGCTCGCTGCCCAGAGTCCTCTTCTCTGCGTCCCATCCCCACAGGTTCTCTTCCTCGGAACTTTTGGGGAAAGGGAACCCCTCACCACGCAATCCCAGCATTGGTCCCCGTAGCAGCTCTGGTCTGCCATGAATCTCTGCTGGCTTGTTGCTGGTCACCTCCCAGAACTCTCAGGTACAATATTGACATGGCTTGGCCCGGCCTCCAGGCAAGGCCAAGAGGAGCCCACTGTCAGTCACTGCCCAGCCCCACACCTGGGCAAAGGCTCCTCTTTCATACTGTGGCTCTTAAGAAGGAATGTGTCTGCCAAGGAGGACTCCTCGTTGTTAACTGGGCCCAAAACCCTAATCCGAGTCTAGCAACCACAGCTGGCAGAGGCTTCTCCTGCACCACGGGTACCATTTCAGGGAAGTCACAGACGGAGCTGCGAAGCCTCTGCACTATTCCGGCCCTCTAAGCCCACCCTTATGAAGGAGTTCCTGGAATCCTCTGACCAATGGGCTGAGACCTGCCCATCCAATCAGAACTGTGCAGCTATATCCTCATTTGCCCATCTTTACAGAACAACCAGTTAGCCAATCAGAATAGGTGTCTTCAACCAATCAGGACTATTTGGACCAATTACGCTGTGCAGATTTGGGTTCCTCATTTGCATAAAAATGGACCAATCAGGAACCAGGGTGGGAACTTTATAAAAAGTGGCTTCCCTTCTATCTGCAGTTTCCACCTGAGACTGTGTTTCCCCAGTTTCCTAACTGTTCATCTGAATAAAGTTTCTCCTCTTTCCTCATTCCAGATTGGGGCCTCTTCTTGACATTAGATTGGTAACAGTAAATTTCTGTGGATAATACCTAAGGAATAATTGACACAGGACCGGTGCGTGTGTGGCCGACTGTAGGAGGATTTGAAGATATCACGAAGATTTCACAACGTGAAAAAATAAAACTTAAAAGTCAACATCTGATCTCAGACTCCCAAAAGACC